GGGAGGGGAGGGGAGGTCGGGGAATAAGCAGCCCCGTTGGTGGGGATGTGATGTTAATGCTGATAGCAATGCAGTGCCTGAGGGCAGCCATGGTGCTTTCCCCAAACCAACATGACATTTCCGAGTGTCTGACAAGACAGTCCCCACAGGGCAAGTGTCAGGCGCATTGAGACGTTTCACATACTCTCTAAAGTTCAGCAATTTCCCCACCCCCCCCCCCCCCCCCCCACCCCTGGTGCGTATTAAGGGATGGCTTTGAGGCGTGGACAGGAGCTATAACACGCCCTGCATTCCAGCTCACGTGGCAAAGTCTCCTGTAAAGCTTTCCTGTAAAGTGAGGTGACTGTGTATTTTGTTGGCAAACCGCGGCAGCCAATTTGCGCACGGCAACATCCCGCAAACAACCATGGATTGAGCGACCAAATCTATCTGTGGAGTCCTGTAGCGTATCAGTTAAAGCACTCGCCTCGCAAGCAAGATGACCTGGGTTTGATTCCCGGGCAGGGCGAAGTAGGAACCCAGTTGTTACTCGATTGGCAGATCGCTTTTCAGGGGGTAGAAATCCCTTCAAAATAAATAAATAAAACAAATGATTTGGTCACTCAATCCATGACAGTTTGTGAGACTGTGTGCAATCGGCTGCCTCGTTTCGTCCACAAAATAGACAGTCAATTCACTTTACAGTATATTCTGTGAAGCGCTTTGGGACGTCCTCCCGACGTGAAAAGCGCTATATCAAATGCAAGGATTATTATTATTATTATTATTATTCTGTGAAGCGCTTTGAGACGTCACAATGATGTGATAAGACAAGGATTATTATTATTATGCAGTAAAGCTCACAGTTGGGACGATACATTTAATATGACTTATGCACAGTACGTGACGTCAACCTTACATGGAAAACAAACTCTTGAATGGGTCATTTGAAGATATATGACTTCGGCGACTATATACTGTGAAGCAAAGTATTCATTCAACAAGTCTGCCATTTCCTTTTTGTCCATTATACATAGTCCATTATATATAGTCAAATAGTCTCACCTACATCGGCCTTTATTGGGCCCACATTTCCCTTTACCACTTTATTTCTCTTAATATATTTATAAAAACCTTTACTGTTGTCCTTGGTAGTCCTTGCAACTTTTTTCTCATATTCCCCTGTTGCACCTCTTATAACTATCTTTGGATCTCCTAGTTGCTTTTTTATAAGTCTCCCAATCCAGTGGATTTCCACTTTTTCTTACGAACATAAGGATTTGCTGGGGCGAAAGAAGACCAAGGTCCATCTACAACAATATCAACACAAACTTGCATTTATTTTGCTCCCTTCACAGGCTATATGGTTCGCCCTCCAACATCCTGGCAGTCGCTTGACATGTGGTGTCCCAAACTGTATATTGTACCCCGAGATGTTATTTCATAACAGAAACCCGTCTAATTTGTTCTTGAAACAAACAACACTTTTTATTTCCACCATCTGTTCCATACATTTACTACTCGCTCACTGGGGTAGTGTTTCCGCAGATTTGTTCTAAGTTTACTCCCCTTCGATCTCAGGTCCTCTGTCCTCTGGTTCTGCCGTTCAGTACAAGATAAAAGAGCTTATCATAGTTGACATGATCTTCCGAATCTTAATTGCTAATAAAAATGTAGCACTACAAAATAAACCATTTCAAATAACCCCATGAGCACCCCAGCTCGCTTGAAAATATTCTACCAACAAAATAGATAACTATTATCCAGCCAGTTCACTCCTGAAATCTAATTTTTCTTACCCCGTCTCTGACATTACTTCCATTTTTTTTAAATGAAAAAATTAAACACTACCCTTATTTGGAAATCACTCGTTTGTAATAAGAATAATAAGAGTAATTCTCGCATTAGTGGAAGTGTTTCCTTACAGTTTGAGGCTGCCTCTTACCTCATATGTCGACCGTGGTTGTTGAACTACACGTTTGGAGCTTTTGTGTTTCAGGGCTATGTGCTGGTTTTGTACCAAATTCTACTTTGAATACTCCCCACTGTGTGTCCGTGGGTTTTACCGATTAAGAGTTCGCTCCAGTCTACCGTAGTAAATTAATTTCTGATCCCTTTGAAGATGGCCTTCCTGCCAATCACTTGCACATACGTCTTGAACGACCTATGTACTATATCCCATGTTATTTCCTTAAAAAAAAAATCTCTGTTTGAAGCAATAAACACTTCCTGCGTCAACCGCCTCCCAAGGGATTCTGGAACTCTCTCCCTCTATCGTTCTGTCTCCTTACCCCCTCCATCCCCACCTTCAAATCCGGCCTAAAGACTTTCCTTGTTGATCATGTTTACGGTCACCTTCCTTCCTCCCTTTCCCCCCGACTCGGGGTCAGACTCCGCCACAGTCAAGCGCCTTTGGACGCTACCCCGCGTGAAGGGCGCGATATAAATGCAAGTTGTTGTTATTTATGCCGCCCGGTATTACTCAGCACGGTAGAGAGGGGTGCGGGAGAGGGGAGGGGAGGGGAGGTCGGGGAATAAGCAGCCCCATTGGTGGGGATGTGATGTTAATGCTGATAGCAATGCAGTGCCTGAGGGCAGCCATGGTGCTTTCCCCAAACCAACATGACATTTCCGAGTGTCTGACAAGACAGTCCCCCACAGGGCAAGTGTCAGGCGCATTGAGACGTTTCACATACTCTCTAAAGTTCAGCAATTTCCCCACCCCCCCCCCCCCACCCCTGGTGCGTATTAAGGGATGGCTTTGAGGCGTGGACAGGAGCTATAAAAAGACCTGTACTCCAGATCACGTGGCAACGCCTCAAAGAGTTTATCCTGTAAAGTGAGGTGACTGTGTATTTTGTAGGCAAAACACGGCAGACGATTTGCAGCAGTGGACACTTGGTTCAGATACCTGTGTGTTGGCCCAGGACATGAGACCACAGGCCAACGGGGAGAAAAAAAATACACTCACACACTCACACAAGACACACTCACGCACTCAAGACACTCGCACAAAAAAATCAGGGAACAAAATTCAACCCCCCACCCCCCCCCCCCTCCTCTTCCCCACTCTTGCCACCCATTCCTTTCCAACGATCAATCTCTGGGATTGCCACGCGCAGGTGGTTTGGTTTGGATACCCTTAAGCTCGGTGATGGGTTTGTGTGTGTGTGTCAGACACCGGGCTGACCGAAAGAACCCCACACAAAAAAAAACACAGCTCAATGTAAGCCAGTTTACGGATCCTGTATTGAATTCAACGTGTTTTTTTAAATATCCACTCAAAATGTTACATTTCAATGATATGATAAGCCTTGCATTTGATTTAGCACCTTATCACGTCATCGAAACGTCTCAAGTGCTTTCACAGAACATACTGTAAAGTGTAGTGACTGTGCATTTAGTGGCAAGAAACATGGCAGCCAATTGACTCCCACGGTGACATGCCTGGCGTTGTGTGCGTTTGTGGCTTGTGCGTGTGGCTGGTGTGTGAGAGGCTGATGTGTGTGTGTGTGTGTGTGTGTGTGTGCGCGCGTGAGGCTGATGCGTATGTGGGTGTGTGTGTGAGGGCTGGTTTGGATGCCTGCGTCCCTCCCTCCCTCCCTCCCTCCCTCCCCAATACAAATGGACTGAACGCAGTTGCCCGGTGTAAAATGAAAGTAAAACCTTTATTAATGCTGGACCACAAAATATACGTCTTTGGTTGTACAAATTCACTAGTTACAGCCTTGGTTGAAGCCAGGCGATGGCCAGATAAGCTGCGTGGCCAATGCTGGCATCTCCTGTCTGACACAACGCGAGCAAAACTGATACTAGAGTTACTTCACAGGTCAGCAAATTGTTGTAGAGTCCAAACACCGAGTTATAAAAGTCTTTTTTCTCACCACCCCCCCCCCCCCCCCCCGCACCCCACCCAACCCACCCGCCCCTCTCTCCCCCGATAATTTCTACAAACCGTTCACTGATTGGATCGGATGCTTGGTAATCATCTACCTCAAAGATTTCTACAAAACTATAAACATTCAGCAAATATACATGCACTGCGAGCCGCGCCCAAGCTGTGTACACTATTCACACGGAGCCACTACTGACAGCCGGGCTGTGAGCAGCCACTTCGGCTCCTAACGGGAGGTCCTGAGCTCGGGAGAGCAGCACTGGAGGGCCTTACGGGGTGACACGGGGCAGAGTGGCACGGTGACACACAGCGTGACACGCAGCATGACACAGTGTCACACGGAGGCACACACTGTGACACACAGAGTGACACAGAGTGACACAGAGTGACACACAGAGAGACACAGACTGACGCACAGAGTGACACAGACTGACGCACAGTGACAGAGTGACGCACAGTGACAGTGACACGCAGAGTGACACGGTAACACATGGGGACACAATGACAGAGTGAGTGACACACACAGGGACAGAGTGACACTGTGACACAAACAGACAGTGACACAGGGCACACAGACACACAGAGCTACACAGTGACACAGAGTGACAAGGTGACACAAGGGGACACACTGACACAGTGAGTGACACACACAGGGACAGAGCGACACAATGACACACAGCGACACTGTGAGGCACACACACACACACACACACACACAGCGACGCAGGGCACACAGACACACAGCGACACTCTGGGTGGTGCGGGCTGACACGTCCCTCCAGTGAGCTGCCTCGGTGACCGGCTGACTCGCTCTCATTGAACCCCCCAAAGTGCTGTGACTTGGCTGCCTTTAACGATCAGCACGAGGTAAACGGGAACCACTGCCAGGACCTGAATGCCCCTCTGCGCTGCGGCGGCTCTCACTACATTAGTGTTGGTTATTCCCTCCGAGGAGGATCACAGCTGACGGGGGGCGCGGGGGGCGGGGGCAGCCTGTGTGTGGCCGAACTCCCCCACCCCCCCCACCCCCACTCCCACCCACCCACACACAAACACACACACACGTCAGGTATCTGCCCCCTGGGGGGGAGGCTTGTCTCAGACCCCAGACCCCCACACCCCCCCGCTCTCCCCCTGGCTCTCGCTCCCTCGGCTAACACCTACACGTTAGTCTCCTGTAAAATTAAACCCAGTTTGCTAACATCACACACACAAAGTCCTGCCGCTGACAGCCAGCCAGCACCCTGTGCCAGGTGGGTCCTTCTTGCCTCACGTGGGCACCGCAGCAGGTCTCAGCTTATACTGCTCTATTGTCACTGGGAGAGAGCCAGCCAGACAGCCATCTTCCCCCCGCTGGGGCACCGAGCCTGCGGAGAGAGAGAGAGAGAGAGAGAGTGCGTGAGAGACTGTGTGAGGGAGACAGGGAGTGTGTGAGAGAGACACTGGAGGGTGTGAGGGAGACAGAGCGTGTATGAGAGAGCCAGACAGACAACCATCTGGGGCACCGAGCCAGTGGGGTGGGGTGGGGTGGGGGAGAGAGAGAGAGACACTATGAGAGAATGACAGAGAGCACATCGAGAAAGAGTGACTTAGAGGCAGAGTGAGAGTGACATGGATCGAGTTGGGCACCACGACATACATGTGGAAGTTAACCCCAGGCCCTCGGATGACATCCCTAAGCAGGAGCTGTAATTGTGGAGTCCTGTAGTTCAGTGGTTAGAGCACTCGCTTCGCAAGCGAGGACCTGGGTTCGATTCCCGGGCGGGGGGAAACGTTAGGCAAGTTTCCTTACTCCACACACCCCTGTTTACCCAGCAGTAAGTAGGAACCCGGTTGTCAGTCGATTGTCGGATCACTCTCCAGGGGTGAAACTCTTCAAAAATAAATTTTAACTCAATCCACGACTGTTTGTGGGACACAGCTATGCACAATTGGCTGCTGCATTTCAGTGTCAGTGACCTGGGGGGTAAGGGGTGGTTGAGGGGGGTATTAGTGACCTGGTGGGAGGGGGTGGGTGAGGGGGTATCTGTGAGTTGGGGGTGGGGGGGGGGCACTGACCTGGGGGTGCGGGGTGTCAGTGACTTGGGGGAAGGGGAGCACTGACCTGGAGGTGGGGGGGTGTCAGTGACCTGGGGTGGGGGATGTCAGTGACCTGGGGTGGGGGATGTCAGTGACCTGGGATGGGGGATGTCAGTGACCTGGGGGTGGCGGGTGTCAGCGACCTGGTGGTGGGGGCAGCTCAGCCTCACTCACCTGAGGGGCCGTCGTCCATATACTTCAGCTCATCCATTAGATCTGGGGACTGTAACAGAGAACAAACAGCGTGTGTGTGAGAGACAGCGTACGAAAGAGTGGGTGTGTGAAAGAGAGGGAGCGTAAAAGAAAGGGAGCGTGAAAGAGAGGGAGGGAGACAGAGAGAGAGAGGGGGAGGGAGACAGAGAGAGAGGAAAAAGAGGGAGGGGAAAGAGAAGGGAAAGAGAGAAAAGGGGAAAGAGAGAGGGTACGGAAGAAGGGAGAGAGAGTGAGTATAACAGCGAGTGACAACAAGAGAGGGAGAAAGGGAATGAGAGAGGAAGAAAGGGCATGAGAGAGGGAGACTGAGTTAGTATCTGGCACATGAAATCCCTCACTAGCACCCCACTCCCCCACACCAGCAGCTCTGCCCCCACACCAGCCCCCACCCCCACACCCGCAGCCCCTCACCAAAACTAGCAACCCTGCCCCCCCACACCATCCCCCTCACTAGCAGCCCCCACACACTAACAGCCCTGCCCCCACATCAGCCCCCACCCCAGCCACCCCCACCATAGCAGCCCACCCATACCAGTAGCCCTCCCACACCAGCCCCCACCCTCCACATCAGCAGAACCATCCCCACAGCCCCCACCAACAGCAGCCGCCCTCACTAATAGCCCCACCCCACAGCGGCACCCACGCACCCACGGCCCCCTGCCCACAGCAGCAGCCCCCTTCCCCCATACTAGCACCCCCACCCACCACCCGCGCCCCCAACAGCCCCCCCCATCACCCACTACTTGGCAGCATGTTGTTGTCAAGGAAGCTTGCACCACATATCACCCCAACAACATGCTCAGGACCCAGGCTGGCGGGGGGGTGGGGGGGGGGGTGAGGGAGGGGGGGAAACAGGCACGGAGCAGGCACAGACATGCCGGCTCTACCTGGATGTCGTAAACCGGCTTAGAAGAAGGAATTGCGGCAAATTGTCGATAATCAAATTTCTTCTCTGACCAGGACTGTAAGAGGCAAAGAGCAGTCAGAGAGGGCGAGAGAGGGCGACAGAGAGAGGCAGAGGGGGATACAGAGAAAGATAGAGAGAGGGACAGAGAGAGAGAGAGAGAGGGGGGGGGACGGATACAGAAAGAGAGGGCAAGAGAGGAGTGGGGGGAGAATGGGGGTAGAGAGGGGGGCAGAGAGAGATGGGGAGAAAGAGAGAGAGAGTGGGGGGGAGAGAGACAGGGAGAAGGAAAAATAGAGACGGGGGGCGGGGGGAGAGAGGGGCAGAGAAAGAGAAAAAAGGGGAGAGTGGGAGAGACAGAAAGGGATACACAAAGAGAGACACAGAGTGAGATACAGATGTAGAGACGCAGAGGGAGAGACTGAGTGAGAGACTGACTGAGAAACACAAAGGGAAAGAGAGGCAGACAGACGGATGGAGAGAAACAGTCGGGGATTGAGTGACTCAAAAAAAAGGAGTAATAACCCCCGGAAAGGGAACCGCCAATCGACTACCAACCAGGTACCTGCTTACGGCGAGGTAAACAGAAGCGTGTGGAGTAATTATAATTATTAATAATAACAATTGCAATTGATACAGCGACGTTATCATGTCGTCGAGACATCTCAAACGCTTCACAGGACACAGTGGAAAGTAGGTTGCGCGTTTATTTAGCGGGTGATCTTTATTGGAATGGGATATGCTGTCTACCTGGAGGGCCACCAACTGTTTTCTTGACCAGCCGGGTGTCTGACACTTGCGGTAACCCATCCCTCTGCCTAAGAGAATCCAAACCAAACTGGGATTTCCATGTACCCCACCTTCACATGGAAATCCCAGAGATAAGATTGTTGGAACGGGATGCGCTCTCTCTCTCTCTCTCTCTCCCTGGAGGGACGCATCCTGATTACCTGATTCCAGGAAGTATTAGGCGCAGGTTGGCAAGAGCCAAGGTTTTGGGGACCCCAGAGTGTACGTTGGGGTAACTGCCGGAGTCTAACCAGCTAAAACCGCACACAGCTTGCCATCGATATCACTGTCCGGCAAAGCTTTCCCGCTGCTTGTCCAGCTAGGACCACCCTAGCCGCTGGGGCTCCACGTACTGTTTACCGAGCTCCGGAGAGCAGGTTCCCACTAGTGTTCCAATAAATATCTCTGGGCTTTCCACGTGCAGGTGGGATGCACGGAAATGTCAGCTTGGTTTGGAGACTACTAATCATGGCAATGTGTCAGACTCCCGGCTGGCCAAAAATTTTAGGCACAGGTATGCTCCTGGGGAATGTGCGTTGGGAGTCTAACCAACTAAAACCGCAGAGCTTGCTGTTGATAGCGCTGCTATCCAAGCACTCCAGCTGTTCGTCCAGTGAGGATCAGCCTCCCCCCATACGGCTTTGGTTTGCAGGGTTAACAGGAGCTGAGTGAGAGGATTCCCTGACCCCAGTGACAGACAATGAGCCAAGATGGCAGACAGAGGGAAAGAGCGAGACGGAGAGTGAGAGAAAAAGACAATAAGAGAGACGCGGAAAGACAGCCAGACAAAGAAAGAGAGTGGGGAAGAGTTGGGAGAAGGGAACGGTGGAAAAGAGAGGAGTCGGGAGCGAGAGGAGGAGGGGAGAGAGGTGGAAGGGGAGAGAAGAGGGAACGAGCGGGAGGACAGGACAGGAGAGGGAGAGAGGAGGGCTGCAGTGAGCACAGGCTGTGGATTTGTGAGCACCGCCCGACACTGGTGACAGCATTGTATGACTGACGCTCGCTAACTGTGACCACCTCCTGACACGAGTGCTGCTGGTGCGATTGCACAATGTGCGTGAACCACCGTGTTTTGCCGCCTCTCAAGCGAGAGGATCTGGGTTCGATTCCCGGGCAGGGTTTCCTCGCTGCACAGGCCTCTGTTTACCCAAGCAGTAAGTAAGAACCCGGTTATTAGTCAATTGGTGGATCGCTTTTCCGGGGGTAACGATTCCTTCATAAAAAATTGGTCACTCAATCCACGACTGTCTGTGGGACGCTGCTGCGTGCAATTGGCTGCCGCGTTTCGCCCACAAAATACAGTCAACTCACTTTACAGTGTATAACCTGTGAAGCGCTTTGAGACGTGTTGAAGACGTGATAAGGCGCCGTATAAAATGCAGGGATCCTAAGGATTATTATAAACCACAGAAAGTCACTCACCAACCTCCCTGGAGACGTCACTCCCCGACAACTCTGATCTGCGAGAGAACAAATAAGAGTCCCTGAGATCCACGCACTCACCCTGAGACGCCCCCACATTCACAACGAGCCCCCGCCCACCCCAAGACCCCTACACACACATATGCTGAGACCCCCCCCCGCCCATACACACATACCTCCGCGAGACCCCTCCCCAGCCCCCGCACGCCCTGTGATGAGGGTCGAGCGCACGTCACACGTACCATCTGGTGGTGTTGGGGAGGGGGTGGCAGCGGGGGAGGGACTGGCAGCGGGGGAGGGGGACTCGACCAGCTGATCCAGAGCACTGCGCTTCCTCCCCTCCTTTGACTTGGCGATGACCATCTGAGCTTTCAGGGCGTCCTGCTCCAGGGACTTCATCCTGTGCGGGAGCCACAAGCAGAGAGAGATGTGAGAGACAGCCGGGGTTGGGGGTGGGGGCTCGGGAGATGGGAGAGGTTATGGAGCGGACGGGCCACAAAAGAGGCAGGAGCAGGGAGCCGGGAGGAGCAGTGAGGTGGAAAGGGCTAGGGAGAAGGGAGGGGAAGCCAGAGGGTAGGGACAATGAGAAGGGGGTGAGGTGTTGGGGGTGGCGAGGTGTTTGGGGTGAGGTGCTGCGGGAGGAGGGGGTGGGGGTGTGAGGTGCTGGGGAAGGGGGGTGAAGTGCTGGGGGAGGGGGTGAAGTGCTGGGGGAGGAGGGGGGAGGAGGATGAAGTGCTGGGGGTGGGGGGGTGGAGGGGGAGGTGCTGGGGAGGGGTGGGGGGTGACGAGGCCAGAGGCCTGCTGTGTGATGGTGATGATGTGAAGCAGCCCCAGGGCACAGCTCACACCTGACGGTGCTGGTTAGCCGGGGGCGGTGGGTGCTGCTCGCTGACTGCCGGGCCTGGGACTGGCGACGCGCTCGCTCCTGTTCGTAATGTTTTAACTCATCCTCGAGAGCTTTGTGTCTGACCGTGAGCAGCGGCAACATCGAGGAAGGCAGGAGAGAGGAAGAGAACGGACAAGACAGCGGAGAAAGAAATGAGAATCCACAGCACAGAGAGAGGGGGAGACCCAGACAGAGAGAGAGAGAGAGAGAGAGAGAGAGAAAGAAAAAGAGAGACCCAGATGTAGAGAGAGACTTTTTTTTGTGGGTCAGCCGGGTATCCGACACATGCAGAAGGAAGCCCATCACCATGTTTAAAAGTCTCCACGCCAAGCTGAGAATTCCCCGCATCCCACCTACACACGGAAATCCCAGAGATAGATTGTTGGAAAGGAATGCGCACTCTCTCTCTCTCTCTCTCTCTCCCCCCGCCCCCCGGAGGGAAACACCCTGCTTACCTAATTCCGGAGAGTATTAAGCGCAGGTTCGGCAAGAGGCAAGGCTTGGGGGAACCCGGAGAGAGACCCAGACACAAAGACGCAGAGAGAGAAAGACCCAGATAAAGAGAGAGACCCAGAGAGAGAGAGAGAGAGAGAGAGAGAGGCCCAGACGGACAGTGAGAGACCCAGGTAGAGCGAGAGAGAGACCCAGAAAGAGAGAGAGAGGGAGAGGGACACACAGAAGCTTTCGGGATTTCAGGAATGCTCTGCCCACAGAATTGCGCCCCCCCCCACCCCACCACCCCACCCCCAACCCAGGAGCCCTCCCTTCCCCACTGCTCTCCAGCCATCGGCCAAGCAGCTCCTTCAATAATTTCTCTCATAAAATATTCCCACACAGAATCCACTCAAAATCACGGTCGGTTTCCCCTCCCTCATTTCTGTTTATTTCCCCCCCCCCCACTCGGTCAGTCCGCCCCCCCACCCCCGCCCCCCCCACTCTGGTCCATCCCCTCCCTCCTCTCTCTCAGTCTGTTTCCTCCCCTCTCTCCCGATAACGCTCCCCCACCCCCAGTCTCTGAGCCGAGTCCCAGTCCAGTCTGTGAGCCGAGTCCAGTCCGGTCTCTGGGCCGAGACCCCTGGGGTACCTGGCCGCCCGCCACATGGCGCGTTTCTCTGCCTCCACGGCCCGGCGCTCGGCGGGGGACAGTTCTCTGTCGTTGGCACGGGCCGTATCTGGGCTCTGCACGCCGAGGCGTTCCTGGAACCGGCGCTCCGCCTTGGCTGTCCGGATCGGGGCCCCGGAATCAGGAGTCACAGGCGACAACCTGTCAGCAAAGGGTTAATTACGTATCAGGACCTTCACGTAAAAGCGGTCGGACACACCTCACGCCCTGGTGTCAGCCGGGCTCAGTCCAGCACACGTCTCGCCCACAAAATACACAGTCAATTCACTTCACGGTATGTTCAGTGAAGCGCTTTGAGACGTCTCAAACTACTACCTCTGTGACCTGCTAACCCCATATCAACCTGTCCGCCCAGCAGGCTCCGTCCTGCTCCACGTCCCCCCCGCCCGGTCCCCCACCCCACCATCGGCTGTCGGCTGTGGCACAGGTACCGTCCTTCTGATGAGACGTTAACCTGAGGTCCTGTCTGCGCCTGTTCAGGTGGACGTTAAAAGATTTCTCTGTCTTTTCTGGTGTCCTGGCCACATTGACTGCCACATATATTTCCTATGAATAAACAGGCACTACGTTTTACTGTTCTTTACCCGCTCGTGGAATTTGATCGCCGATCCTCAGACATTGTACCGTCTCGGACCGGACTCGGAGTCTCTCTGCGGGTTTGTAAACCGGTCACCCTGAGAGACGGGGACAGAGCCTGCCGTCACACTCCCATTGCACTTACACACGTCATATACACATAGGTCATTCTCACACACACACACACATCATATATACACATAGGTCATTCACACACACACGTCATAAAAACACAGGTCATACACACAAATCATATGCAACAACAACAACAAAATTACATTTATAGAGCGCCTTTCATGTCAGGAGAACGTCCCAAATACACACAGGTTATACACACACACACACACACACACATCATATACATACAGGTCATACAGGTCTCTCACTCACACCCTCCCGTCTCTCTCAGACACACACACAGACACAATCACAGAGATACACACACGTACCCGAGCTGGTGCTGCCGCCCAGGTCCCCCCAGGCTCAGCACTGTGCCTTCCTCCTCCTCCTCCTCTTCCTCCTCCAGCAGTTCCCGGGGCCGTGGCATCTTACGTTCTGTCACAGCAACAACACAGGTCAGCTCATTGCCCTCCTCCTCAATCCCCTCCCATCCCCAACCCTCTCCCCCTCCTCCAAACCCCTCCCTAACCCTCTCCCCCCACCAAAAACCCTCCCCAACCCATTCCGACTCCTCCAAACCTCTCTTCAACCCTCTCCTCCTCCCCCTCTCTAAACCTCTCCCACACCCCAACCCTCCATCCCCAAACCCCTCCCCAAACCCCTCCCCAACCTTCTTCCTCTCCATCGCCCCTCCCCAACCATCCCCATCAGAGCTCCAGTAGGGGAGCGAGCACCAAGACAGAAACGATGGGGAAAGAGCAGGGAATGATGTTAGAGTAAAGACCTCCAGTGGGTAGATACGATGACCTGTGAACCCATGCTAGACACACCTTCCTCCTCCTTCATCTTCCTCAGGTCATCGGCTGCCACGAGTGACACTCGCTTGGGTTTCTCTGTTACCTGCTGCTTCACGTCAATCTCAAAGTATTTCTGTCGCTCACGGAAGGAACGCTGCTCAGGGGATGGTGTCTGCAGATCAGAGAGTAAACAAGAGAGTGAGCGAGTGAGACACACACACGCAGCCTTCGGCTCCCCTCTCGACTCTCTACCCCCTCCTCGCTCCCTCCCTTCCCTCCCCTCACCCTGACCATTTCCCCCCTGCTCGGGTCCTGACCCAACTGTACAGCGCCTCGGGACATCCTCCTGACGTGAAAGGCGCTCTATAAATGGAATCTTGTTGTTGTTGTTGTCTTGTTGCAGGGACAGAGACATACAGACAGTGAGAGACATACAGACACACACACACACAGAGCGAGAAACATACACACACACAGTGAGAGAGAGAAATACACACAGTGAGAGAGACGGAGAGAAACAGACACGCACGGTGAGAGAGAACGAGATCGAGCGACACGTACACAGATTGAGATAGCGACACCACACACACGGTGAGAGAGATATGCACACAGTGAGACACACACATACACACACACACACACACACGCATTCACTCTCACACACACAGACAGGCGCGCGCGCGGGCTCTCTCTCACACACTCACGCGCGGGCTCTCTCACACACTCACGCGCGGGCTCTCTCACACACTCACCGCGCCGGGGCTCTCTCACACACACCTCCACATACTCACGCGCGGGCTCTCTCACACACTCACGCGCGGGCTCTCTCACACACTCAGGCGCACTATTTCTCACGGCGGCTAGGCCCTCTCTCACACACGGGCTCTCCCTCTCTCACACACTCACGCGCGGGCTCTCTCTCACACACTCACGCGCGGGCTCTCTCTCACACTCACGCGCGGGCTCACTCACGCGCGGGCTCTCTCTCACACACTCACGCGCGGGCTCTCTCTCACACACTCACGCGCGGGCCCTCTCTCTCACACACACACACACACGCACACATACATGCGCGTGCCCAGCTCTCTGGTGTGCTGCCTGGCTGGTGGCGTAGCTGTGGGAAGGGCAGAGTTACCGGGCTGGGTGCTGGCGAGGTGCTGGAGCTGTGCAATGGGCTGAGAATGTCACCGAGTTCTGTTGTGGCTGCGTTCTGTCTGAACCTGGATGGCGGCTGAATCTGTCAACGGGAGAGCGAGAGAGCTCAGGTGTTTCTGTCATACACTTCAGCTCGGAAAATTCAATGACATTTATAGTTCATTTAAAAAGCAAGCGCTGTACGTACGAACGCGTGTTCGCGAACCCGGACTCCAGGTAACGCCTTCCAGCAGCTGTCGACCCAAGCCTCGGAGTTTCCTCATTGGCTATCCGGCCGACATCTGCTTTCAGCGCGGTGGGCAGACCTTCACACAATAGCTTGTGACGTGCTAGCCACCTTGGTGTTCTTGAGGTCCAAATCAAATGTCACGTAGCAATCTTACTGAGCACCAACTGCTTAATCCAGGTCCGCAACGCGAGGGGCCTCGGCAAATAGACATACCCGGTGTGACACCACCTCTGCCTCCAAGGGGGCTTAGCGACGGGTCAGTGCAGGCCGAAACCCTCCCTCCCTGTAGCCGCTTCCTGGTGTCTGCCATAAATCCACCTCACTGCTTGATCCTGGACTTTGCAAGTGGGTCAGAGGAAGCCTGTCCACTGCATCTCCAGGACCTCAGATCCATAAAGGAGGACTGTTTGCACACAGGTCTGGTAAGACCTGCATTACTGTCCTTGACGAGGGTTGAGCATGACCATAGATAGCCCTCTTCTACCCTTCTCTGTGCTGTCCTGAAGGACAGTGTCCGCCCAACCCCCATGTACAAGAATCAACAATTGGGACTGATGCCCCTTGAATCACGTCGACCTGTGAGGAGTGCCTTCGAGTAATCCAGGCAGTAGGTGACAAACACATGCACGAGGGTTTCGCAAGTCCCATTACCTCGTTCCCTCCCTTGTCTGTCTCCTTCAAGGCCCGTCTCAAGATCCTCCTCTTCGACCTCACCTTCGGTTACTCTCCTACCCCTACCATACCTCCCCTTCAATTCTCCTGATCCCGACTCCCCCCCCACCCCCCACCCCCCAGCTCGGTCCAAATTCCTGACTGTCAAGTGCCTTGGGACGTCCTCCCGATGTGAAAGGCGCTGTGTAAGTGTAATTTGTGGCTGTTCTTGTATCTTTCAATCAATACTCACAGTGACAGTGTCTCTCTGAGGCGTTATATAGTGAATGGCAGCCTAAAAAAAGATAAGACGTTGTGAGCGCTCTCACGCTCACCCTCTCGCGCCCTGACCCTCTCCCAAGCCCTGGTCCGTGCCCTGTCCCGCGTCCCCCTCCCCCGCCCCGCACGCACCCCCCCCCCGGACACACACACACTCACTGTAGAAGGCGAGGAGGAGCCGTCCTGTAGGACACTCGTGTGGAGAGTCGGGGAATCATCTTCACTGTCCTAAAAACACACACGTGTTACATGCCTGTCACACCTTCACACGCGCACACATCCACCCCAACCCACACACAACGCCCTGACTCCCCCCCTCGCCCCACACACACAGCCCCATGAATCCCCACATACACACAGAGGCCCCTGAACCCTCCCCACCCACACACAGCCCCCTGACCACCCCCACACACACAGAGCCCCCTGAACCCAATCCACACACATACACACACAGCCCCCTGATCCCCCCACCCCACACACACACACACAGCCCGACAACTCACCCGAGATACTCGCTGTGAGCCGCCCCCAGGAATGGCAGCCAATGTCTTGTAATCTAGCTGCAGCGGCTCTGTGCACTCACCCTGAGAGAGGGGGGCAGAGAGGGAGAGGGGGGCCGGGGGAGAGAGAGAGTGATATGGTAAGTTCCAGAACCGCTCCCCCTGGGAGTGCGTGAGAGTGTGTGAGTTTGGCAGTGACTCACACTCATACACTCGCAGGAACACTCACTCACACACACACACACACACACACACACACACAAAGTAGACCACTTGATCTCACACACAGCACTCGATTACACACACACACACAGAGGAGTGCTGGAGACCTGTTATCTTACAACAACAACAACAAGATTCCATTTATAGAGCGCCTTTCACGTCGGGAGGACGTCCCAAGGCGCTGGACAGTTGGGTCGGGACCCGAGCATTGGGGGGGGAAATGGTCAGGGTGAGGGGAGGGAAGGGAGGGAGCGAGGAGGGCATAGAGAGTCGAGAGGGGAGCTGAAGGCTCGGTCAAAGAGAAAGGTCTTGAGACTGGCCTTGAAGGAGGAAAGGGAGGAGGCGGCGAAGGCACTGGGGGATAGAGTTCCAGAGCCTCGGGGCTGAGAGGCTGAGAGGACACCGATGGTAGGGCGGTTGGGGCGGGGGATGTGGAGCAGACCGGAGCCAGAGGAACGGAGGGTACGGGCAGGTAGGTAGGGGGATAGTAGGTCGGAGAGGTAGGAGGGAGCGAGGCCGTGAATGGCCTTGTAGGTGAGGATAAGGATCTTGAATTCGATCCTCTGGGGGATGGGGAGCCAGTGGAGGCGAGCGAGGGTGAGGGCGAGGGTGGGAATGATGTGGTCCCGAAACCTGGTGCGGGACAGTACACGAGCTGCAGAGTTCTGAATGACCTGCAGTGTGGAGGGAGGGCTGGGAAGGCCGCGAGGAGAGAGTTCCCATAGTCCAGCCTTGAGGTGATAAAGGCGTGGACCAGAGTTTCAGCCGCGTGAGGGGTGAGGTAGTGCCGTAGTCTGGCGATATTTCGGAGGTGGTAGAAGGCGGTGCCAGTTGTGGCGCGTATATGAGGAAGATTACCTCTGTTTCCTCCTCCAAAAGGCGGTTGCTCTCTTCTCGCTCTCTTCGCATTCGCTCCTTCGAACAAGACGGGAAGGCAGAGTTAAAAGAAACATTAAAGTGACAGCAACACAGAGTAAGTGTAACTCACCCGAGATAGTTTGACTCACTCAGTGACTGTCTGTCACTCACAGTCAGTAACTCTCACACACACACTGTGCTCAACTACAGCCAGTAACTACACACACACACATTGTGATCAAGGGGTGAGAGGGTGATGGGGGGTGAGAGGGTGGGGGGGGAGGAGTGAGAGTATGAGGGTTAGGGGGGGTAAAAGGGTGGGGAGATGAGAGGGTGAGGAGTGGTGGTGGGGGGGTGGTGAAGATTTCTCACCACTTTCTCCAGCTCCTCACGTTCCCACTGCGCTGATTCCCGAACCATCTCCAGCTCCTGGAGAGACAGAATGGCTGTGAGGTCACACAGGTGCGCCCCACCACCAGCCCTGAGCACCCCTTCCAGCCTACCCTCCTCTCCCTCACTCCCCCTCACACAACTGAGCAGACGAGCCTGACCCGACTCTCACCTTCTGCAGGATGTCCATCTCCTCTGGGCTCATGTCTCGGTCGATGGACGAGATGCTTTCCATGCTGTTTTTCCTGCCCATCCCAGCGGCAAAGGGGTTAGCGATGATCCCGGGAGACGCCTGGGACAGAATTAACCATCAGAACAGGACTGTGCACACATACACTCACACAACAATAACAACTTATATCTCTATTGCACCTTTCACGTCGGGAGGACACTCCAAGGTTGTGGACAGACGAGAGTTTGCACCCGAGCTGGGGGTTGGATTTGGGATGGGTGGGGCCAATATGGTGGGGGTGGGAGGGTGATCAGAGGTGCCATCAAAGAAGAAGATCTTGAGACAGGGCTTGAAGGAGGCGAGAGAAGGAGCGAGGTGAAGGGATTCCGGGATGGAGTTGCAGAGGATGGGGGCCAGAAAGAGTGAAGGGCTGATCCCTGATGGTGGGGTGGGCAGGGAAGGGGACGTGGAGCAGAGCAGAGGAAGCAGGTGGGTTGCTAGGGTTTGAGAAGGTCACAGAGGAAGGTGCAGCAAGATTGTGGATGGCTTTAAAAGTGAGGAGCATCTTGGACTTTTTCCTCTGTGGGTTGGAGAACCAGAGGAACTGGGCGAAAAAAAAACAAGGAAGGTGTTGCAGAAGTCCAGTTGTAAAACAAGTGATAGCTGTTGAGGTAAATCATGTGATCTAGAAGCCTGTGAACTCGGATAAGGTGAAACCTCTTCATGTTCAGTCATACAGCACACACTCACCGTCTCTCACTCCATCGCATGCACACACACACACACACTGTCTCTCTCTCACACACAGTCGCAGTCTCTCACACACACACACACACTGTCTCTCTCTCGCACACAGTCGCACTCTCACACACACGCACACTGTCTCTCTCTCTCTCTCAAACACACACAAATGAGAACACACACATAGTCACAGTCTCAGACACACATACCTCCAAAGTGGCAGCGAGCTTGGGGTCGAAGCCCTGGCAGACGAGGATGTGCAGGGTGTCACCCACTCCTCGCAGGATGCGCACGGCCTCCGTGTGTGTCATTCCCAGGAGACTGTGGTTATTCACCTCCAGGATCCGCATTCCCACACAAAGCCTGCCATCCCTCGCTGCTCCGCCACTGGCACTCACCTGTCAAACACACACAGGCTCAGCTCCCATTGCAACATCACCATCAAACAGGAGAGGGGGAGGGGGGAGCGAGGGAGCAAGGGGGAAGCAACGGAGAAGCGAGGGGGTAGGGGAAGTAAGGGGGAGGTTGTGGGTGTAGGAGGCGGGGGTTGTGTGTGGGTGTGAGGGTACTGGGGGTTGGGGAGGGAGAAAGGGTGGGTGCACATCAGATTACCTTTGACACAAAAATGCCCTCATCGCTGGGGTCTAACGGATTCCCTGCGTGGCCCTTGGCTCCTCCCCGGATGCTGATTCCCAGCTTCTCTGCTGGAAGCTTCTCGATCTGGATTTCCTGGAACAGCAACAGCAACAAATGACATTTGTACAAGAACTATAATGTCGGGAGCAAGTCTTAAGGCGCTGGATAGTCAAGGATTTGGACACGAGAAGGAGTTGGGATCAGGAGTGGGTGGTGGACACGGACGGTAGGGGGTGGAAGGGTGGACGAAGGCGCGGTCCAACAGGACATGCCTTGAAGGAGGCAAGGGAGGGATTGAGGCAAAGGGACTGAGGGATGGAGTTCCAAAGGGTAAAGGCTGAAGGCCCGTCGTCGATGGTGGGGTCATGGAGCAGGTGAAGGGGTAGGAGGCGAGATGGAGGGATTAAAGGAGAGAGTTTCAGAGTTTCGGGGAACAGCAGCTAAGGGCATGGCCATCGATAGTGGAGCGGAGGGGATGAGGAACAAGTAGCAATCTGGAGCCAGCCGAGCGGAGGCAGCAGATAGTGGAGTGTGGGGTAAGCAGATCAGATAGGTAGGGAGGTGCAAGGGCATGAAGGGAATGGAAATCGAGCGACAGAGGGACAATAGAGAGAGCTTGGCAAGGGCTGGGGATGTGGGGTGCAGTTTGATAGCAGTGAGGATATGGGCAGTACAGTTTTGAAGTGGTTGCACTCTTTGAACGGGATGGATGAAGGGCTTTGGAGAGATCGAGGAGTGAGGTGATGAAAGCATTAAGTCACTGACAGGTTAATAGGGGCTCAGTCACTATTAAGGAGATTATTACCCAGGGAAAGTGATCCGCCAATCAACTAACAACCAGGTTCCTACTTACTGCTAGGTAAACAGAGGAGTGTGGAGAAAGGAAACTTGCCTAAGGTTTCTCGCTACCCAGGAATCGAACCCGGGTCCTCTCGCTTGCGAGGCAAGTGCTCTACCCACTAAGCTGCAGGACTCGAAACTGGTACCTGCATGCCAGGAGGCGGGGGGTCGTGGCGGACGAGAAGGTGGATTTGTTGGGTGTTGGAGAGCAGAGCGAGCACCGCCTCCTGATGGGTGGCATGTCGCAGGTCAATGCCGTTCACCTCCAGGATCCGGTCCCCAACTCCCAGCCCCGCCCGGGCTGCCAATCCCTCAGCAATAACCTGCAACACACATACACAGTACGCTCACTGAGACATGCCTGCACACACAAGACACGCACACCGAGAGACCAGTATACACAAGGCATACGCACTGAGAAATACCTGTACACACAGGACACATGGACTGAAACTGCTTGCACTTTTTTTGGTCAGCCTCGTGGCATCATGCTTAACAATAATCAAATCAGAGTGCCATGGACTTTCCAAACATGGAAATTCCTGTGTCTGGAATGGAATGCGCACTCTCTCTCTCTCTCCCTGGAGGGACGCCCCCCCGCTTACCTAATTCCGGAGAGTATTAGGCGCAGGTTGGCAAGAGCCAAGGCTTGGGGACCCCAAAGTGTGCTTCGGGGTAACTGCTGGAGTCTAACCAGCTAAAACCGCACAGCTTGCCATTGAGAGCACTGTCTGGTAAGCTTTCCTGTTGCTTGTCCAGCTCGGACCACCCTACCTGTTAGGGCTTTGGCTGCAGGGTTAACAGGAGCTGAGTGGGAGGATTCCCTGACCCCAGTGACGGGTCTGCCCTTCTAAGCCCTACAGATGAGCCAGGCCGGGCTGTGTTGTCATCAGCAGTGGCCTGGAATACTGCAGACCCGCCTGGCTCAAGAATCGGACTGGAGACCGTCACAGAGGGTGGTCTTAATTTGTTAATCTTATTCATTTACATGTTAATCTGTATAAGATTTGTTAATCTTATTCATTTCATTTACAAACATGTCACTTTGTAGTCAGTTCAGTCCCAAGGAGACACCCCCCCCTTACTTCCACCCACCCCACTCCCCTCCCCCAAGGAGGACAGCATTCCAAAGGCACATACACTGTACATATCTGCACATTTGGGGCTCTCATGTGAAGAATGCCAGTACATGCACTCCTGAACACTCGCTAACATGCACTGCACACACATACTGGCACACGCCTGTACGTGCAGGCACGTGCATTGAGACACACAGTAAGTTGAGCCCCACCTTGGAGATGAAAACGCCAGGCTCATGGATGCCAAAGGGATGGCTGGCGTGGTCGCTGCCTCCCACAATGCTCAGCCCCAGGGGTCCTCCCGTCTTCAGCAACACCACTTCCTAGGTCAACAACAACACATTACACATGAAGAGGTTCACTCCACCCCGGGAGGATGTCCCAAGACACTGAATTACCCAAATTATAAGAGCCAATCAGTGTGCCATATAGCTCGAGCCCCCCCCTACGCCTCCCCCAGCCCCCACCCCCTCGCCTCTGCAGCTCGGGCCGGGCAGTTCCCAATCTGTCTCCTGGACCATCCTACCTCCACTGGGTACTCGTCCTCTGTGGCCAGGCTGAAGTGGTTGGGCTGCGTGGGGGGTTCCTCGATCCTCGTGTCCGGTCCCACCTCCTCCTCGTCCTGCAGGCTGGGGGGCGGTGGTGAGTGTGGTCTGGCTCGGTGGAGAGTGGGAGAGGCCTCAGGCTGGCCCTCGCCCTGGCCCTCGCTAGCCCTGAGTGGCTCTGCGAGCTCTCGCTGTATCAGCATGGTGATGGTGGGAGCCGAGCCAGTAAGAAGAGCTACTGCCTGGTCATGTCTGGCCTCTCGCATGTCTACCCCATTGATCTGCAAACAGCCAGCGCAAACCTGTCAATCCCACTGCCCACCGGGGCGGGGCCATCCATTAATATAGGGGGACCCGGATGGGGCAGGCAGAGGGAGGGGCCGGGGGGGTTCATGGCCAAGGGGAGTGGCCAGGGTGGGGGGATCCACCAACATGGAGGACACAGACTGGGGAGGGGACAAAAGGAGTGGCCTGTGGGGTCAAGGCCTGGGGGAGGGGTCTGTCAGAGGGACCTGTGGGGAGGATGAGGGGCCTGTGGGGAGGGGGGGGGGGCCTGTGGGAAAGGAGGGCCATGTGGGAAAGAGGAGGGCCATGTGGGAAAGAGGAGGGCCATGTGGGAAAGAGGAGGGCCATGTGGGAAAGAGGAGGGCCATGTGGGAAAGAGGAGGGCCATGTGGGAAAGAGGAGGGCCATGTGCGAAAGAGGAGGGCCATGTGGGAAAGAGGAGGGGCATGTGGGAAAGAGGAGGGGCATGTGGGAAAGAGGAGGGGCATGTGGGAAAGAGGAGGCACCTGGGGGAGGGGGCTAGTAAGGGACTTGGGGGCGCGGAAGGAAGAGGGACACGGGGAAGGGTTTGGGGGGAAGAGGAGGGGCCTGTGGGGAAGAGGAGTGGACCAGGGAGGGGCCTGGAGAATATGGGAAGGGGGGGTATAGCGGGAGAAGGGAGCGAGGTTGTGGCAGGTTAGTAGTAACGAGGGGAGACTGTACTGTGGGGCGAGGGAGGCAGCACTGACCACACAGTAACTGCTCTTACTGCTGCCGGGAACACATGCTGTTCCCGGGCCGGTTAGTGTCAGCAGCCCACCACCACCGCAGCAACATGCAACCGAGAGCCAGCTCCGCCACCCCACCCTCCCCCCACCCCACACACACACACGCACACGCAGCTCCAGCCCCCACCCACACGCAGCAATACACAGCAACATACGCACACAGCGCTCCAACTACCCCCAACCCCCCCCCCACCCGGACACAAACACACAGAGCTCTGACACCCCCCTGTACGCACAGCTCTGCTTCCCCACCGCCCGCCCCCCCCACATCCAAACGGCAAACATTACATGTACACAGCGCTTATCACATCGGGAGGACATCCGAATGGGGGTGGGGTGGGGTGGGGGGTGGGGGGGGAGAGAGAGCCAGGGGGAGGTAGACCCACCGACATGACTTGGTCGCCGACTCTCAGGATCCCGTCTGTGTGAGCAGCTCCACCCTCCGCCAGCCGGGAGATGAAAATTCCCTGTAACGCATGGCGACCATGTTACACCCTCGTTACCCCACCCACCCCACCACCACTTCCCCACTATCCCGCTCACCACATACACCCTCACCCCCCGAAACACACACACACACACCTCACCCACACAGACTACCGACACCCTCTACCCCCAACCCACACACACACACACACCCACTATATCCCCCCAGGACCGCCCCACGAACATACACACACTCACACACCCGCACACCCTACATCCCTTTGGACACCCTCCAGGTCACAGCCCCGGCCACACGCACCACGTCTCCTGTCCTGTAGGCCGTGGAGCCTTTCCCTCCAGCAATGCTGAAGCCAAGGCCCTTCTCACTGCGAGCAAGTGATGTGGAGAGCTGCTCCCGGGTTGGGGGGCTGTCCGTGCCCAGGCCTGGCTCTGTCAGGAAGCGCAGGCCAGTCCGACGATCCCTGGGGGCATAATCATCCTGGGGCCGGAGCGGGGTGGTGGTGATGGGATTCTCCGACTCCACCATTCTCTCCCGCAGAATCGCCATGGTCACCGTGGTGCCCGAGCTCCTCAAAGCCTCCACCGCCTTGTGATGCTCTGCGTCCCGGAGCCCCACCCCGTTCACCTGTCGGAGACGCACGTTACCCCACTCTCGTTTTGCTCAGCCGCGTGTCTAACACATGCGGAAACCCATCACCGTTGCTTAAGAGTCTCCAAACCAAGCTGAGAGTTCCCCGCATCCCACCTACACATGGCAATCCCAGAGATAGATTGCTGGAATCCAATGCGCTCTCTCTCTCCCTGCAGGGACGCATCCCGCTTACCTAATTCCCGAAAATATTAGGTGCAGGTTGGAAAGAGTTAAGGCTTGGGGTAACTGCTGGAGTCTGACTAGCTTCCTGTTTTTCCACAAATCCACCTCACTGCTTGATCCTGGACTTTGCAGATGAAGCCTCTCCGCTCCATCCCCAGCAGTTCAGACCCATAAAGGAGGATTGTTTGCACACAGGTCTTGTATGCCACAAGCTTGGCCTCCATTGGGACCTTGCTGTCCTTGAAGAGGGATGAGCATGATCAGAGAGCCTTTCGCCCCTTCTCAGCGCGGTCCTTCAGGACAGTGTCCAAGGTAAAGGCTGGTGTCCACCACAAAGTACCGATGATAATCAACTATTGGAACTAATGTCCCTAGCATCTTCTCAATCAATATCCTCGATGTCTATTCTTGAGCTGTGCAGAACCACTTGGGGGCACATGACCCATCAGGTAGGCCAATGTTCAAGACAATCGAGTACAACGCAAAAGGTTCCCAGGTGAGTTCACCAGCAGCGTAATGTCGTCCGCAAACAGAAGTACGCTCAACCTGTCAGACACAGTCGTTAACCTGTCCGAGACGGACGTCGCCCCATTAACCTGTCAGAGACATTACCGCATGTGTGTTTGGTGTGTGTGTGTGTGTGTGTGGCGGGGAGCCTGGCAAAGATTCTCACCTCCAGGAGTTTATCCCCGACCCTCACACCCGCCCGAGCTGCTGGACCCTCCTCAGACACTCGAGATATGAAGATACCCTGCAACAAACAGCGGCATTAGACACCATGTCACCACTCACAACTAGAGGGAGTGTCGTCACTCCGACTCTTACCCCGACCTGGGAGTGTGGACGGACAGCGTAGAGGGAGCTTTACTGTGTCTCTAACCCTGACCTGGGAGTGTGGACACAGAGCATAGAAGGAGTTTTATTCTGTCACTAACCCTGACCCGGAGGTGTGGACGGGCAGTGTAGAGGGGAAAGAACGAAGGTTGACCTTGCTGGGTTGTGAGTGAGCCAGACATGCTTACCTCGTCCTCCCCCTTGTATGGAGTGGAGCCCTTGCCCCCCGCGATGCTGATGCCCAAGCCCCCGATCTGACGGTGGATTGTTAGTGTTAGCTACAGACACAACAAGAGGAGTTTAGCTCAGCTCTTCACAAGCAGACACCTCTGCAAGACACAGCAGCTTTTACACTCACAGCCCTCACACTCACACTCACACAGCCCTCACACTCACCTCACTCACACAAAGGCATCACACCTCACATGCACCCTTCACATTCGCATACCACCCCCACACCTCACCGCCCTCAGACAGCACTCACACACCTCACACATACCCTTCACAGCTCCCACACACGCACACAGCCCTCACACTCAGACTAACATTCAGTCACACACACTCAAACACACACAACACTCACACAGCCTTGACACTCACTCACAGGTTTCGCATAGACCCACACACCCATTGCCTCTCTCTCTCTCACACACACAAACACACACAGCCCCACAGGCATAGCCACTGACTCACGCACACAGCCTCCCATACACACAGCCCCAACCCACCCATAGCTTCTCACGCACACACACAGCTTCACAGAGCGACAGGCTTTGCAGATCACCCATGAAAACCACGCACCAGCAAAATAAAGCCCACAGCAAAGGCCGTGCAGAGGGTCAAGGGGGTAAGACAGGTTGGCATGTGAATGCCAGGCAGGTTCTGGACATTGTGTGTTGTGAAGGGTTTAAGTGATGATGAGTTTGTGAAAAACTTGAAGGGGAGGTTACTGGGCGATGAGGCAGTTTGCAATGTGATATATACAGCGCTCTGTGTACACAATGTGTAAATACAGGACTGTGTGTACAGTGTGGATACAGGGATATATCTGTAATGTACACAGCAAGTTTGTATAAAGGATTGTATCTGTACTGTGCACAGTGGGTGCGTATACAGGGCTGTATCTGTACTGTACAAAGTGCTGTATCTATACTGTCCACAGTGTGTATACATTGCTTTATCTGTACTATCACCCACAAAATAAAGTCAATTCACTTTACAGTATATTCTGTGAAGCACTCTGAGATGTCTCGAAGACATGATAAGGCATTATATCAAATGCAAGGATTATTATGTGCATATTCAGGACTGTAACCGATACTGTACACATCAAATGCTTACACAGGGCTATATCTGTACCATTATACAGTGAGTGTGTATACAGGTCTGTATCTGTGTGCTATACAGTGTGTATACGGGGCTCCGTGTACTGTGCAGTGAATATACAGCGATTTCTGTATACTGTACAGTGAGTATATATCTTGTATTCAGGTCCCATTTAGACGTCTCTTTTTAAGGCAGAAACCAAATTTGTCTAATCGTTCCTCACAGCTCATCTATTAACACTGGACATTGTCCTTGTTGCTGTCAGCCGGACTCCTGGGCCCGACATATCCCTTATGCTGTTGCAACCCGACCTATACGCCACGTATGGTCTTCCTCTCAAGGATCCGGAGTCCTGCCCTCATCCCGGTTTAGTAACGTGGATTGCTACAGTGCTTTGGGACAACCTCTAAACTTGAATTGCTCCTTGTAATAATAATCCTTGCATTTGATATTGCGCCTTATCACATCTTTTAGACGTCTCAAAGCGCTTCATAGAATATACTGCAAAGTGAATCGACTGTATATTTTGTGGGCTTAATGCTGCAGCCAATTGCGCATCCCACAAACAGTTGTGGATTGAAGTGACTAAATTATTATTACTTTTTGTTGAAGGGATTAATACTCCCGGAAAGCGATCTGCCAATCAACTAGCAGCCGAGTTCCTACTTACTGCTAGGTGAACAGAGGCATGTGGAGTAAGGCAACTTGCCCAACGTTTCGCCTGCCCGGGAATCGTACGCAGGTCCTCTTGCTTGCGAGGCGAGTGCTCTAACCACTAAGCTACAGGACTCCACAATAAATATAAATGTATTATATTGTACCTCCAGTGAGCAACGAGGCAACTGACGCCCCTCAATCTTATCGCTTGGCAAGTTCTATCCATGGAGGACATATGCCTGACTCCTCCCATCAGTATTTTGTATTTATCTGGATTGAACTTTATTTTTAAGACCTTTGTTGCCTCTTATTTATTTATGACTTGGTGTCTGTCGCCTGCAAACCGTACACCGTGCCTGCGAATTCATGTGATGGACCTATGCAACAACTTGCATTTATATGGGGCTCTTCACAGTGCCTGGGCCAGACACCAAAAGAGAGAGAGGGGTGGGGGGAAGGAGGTACGGTCAAACATTGTCAAAATATCTCATAGTGCTTCACAGGATATAATACAATACAAAATTTCACGTCAAGAGGACATCCCAAAGGACTTAAACTGCATGCTGGTCACCGGAACTGGGGGTGGGAGCCGAGGAGGGGGTGGGAGAAAGATGACCGAAAGACCCAAGTCTTGAGATGTACCTTCAATGAGGGGAGTGGGGCGAGCGAGTCTGGAATGGAGTTTCAGAAAGCAGGGGTCGGAATGGCTGAAAGCTCACTGGAAGAGAGAAGATTGAGTGGCGATATGATTGTTGTCTTTAAGACTCTAGAGGGGCGAGCTGAGGTAGATCATGACAGGCTGTTTCATCTAGTCCAGAAATGGTAAAACCAGGCTACCTATGGAGACGGTGGATGTAGGAAGCGTGGATTCCTTCAAACATAGATTAGATAGTTTTATATTAGATTAGATATCAGTTATTGGAGTGATGACAGTAATCCAACAACGCAGCACGCCCCCAGGACTGAACTGGAGCATCTGCCTGGACTGAGTTCAAAGGTCCGACATGATCCCAGAATCTTATGACTCAGAGACGAGAATGCTACCAACTGAGTAAAGTGGGATTTACCAAAGGATAATGGAAATCTGTAACTCTCTCCCCCAAAAGGCTGTCGATGCTGGATCCATTCGCATTGTCAAGACCGAGGTAGATAGATATTTGTTAGGTGAGGGTATGTGGAATCCTGTAGCTTAGTGGTTAGAGGATTCGGCTTGCACAGGAGGACATGTCAGGAGGACGTTCCAAGGCGCGGGACAGTCAAGGGGTTGCACCCGAGCTGGGGGTTGAAATCAAGAAGGGTGGGGGATAGGGGTAGGCGGGTGACCAAAGGCACGGTCAAAGAGTAAGGTCACAGAGGTAGGAAGGAGGAAGATTGTGGAGAGCTTTGAAGGCGAGGAAGAGAATTTTGAACTCTATCTCCTGGTGAATGGGGAGCCGGGCGAGGGTGTGGGTGATAGCGTCACGGAGCTTGGTGCAGGAGATGACATGAGCTGCAGAGTTCTGAATGATCTGCAGCTTGTGGAGGGAAGTGTTGGGAAGGTCGGGAGCAGGGAGTTAGTGTAGTCTCGTCTAACATGATGAATGCATGAATGAGGGTCTCGGCGGCCTGAAGGGACAGGTAATGGCGGAGGCGGACAATATTGCGGAGGTGGAAGGAAGGCACGGATGTAGGGTTTAAGGGCCAGTTGAGTGTTGAACAGGACACCAAGGTTCCGTACTAGATCTGTGAGATGGAGTGTGCATCCACGAATAGTAGTGTTGCCGGCGCCAGAGGTCAGGCGGCACTGCCAGCATCACGGGATCTTTAACGTCCACCAGAAAGGGCACAGACGGGACTAAGGTCTAACCTCTCATCTGAAGGACGGTGCCTCTGACAACGACACACCGCCGGCACTGCATTCAAGTGTCAGCCTAGACCAGTGAGTTCAGGTCATGATGTGGTCAATTTGAAGATTCTCACACTCGTTTTTAAATCCATTCATGCCCTGGAACCTCCCTACCTCTCCGACCTGCTTACCCCCATCCCACTACCTCCGCTTGACGGGCTCCAGCCTCTTGCATGTCCCTCGTCCCCTCCGTTCCACTTTCAGCCACTACGCCCCGAAACTCTGGAATACTCTCCCTATATCACTCCGCCTTGCCCCTTCCTTCCCCATCTTCAGGTCGCACCTGAAGACCTTCCTCTTTGACCATGCCTACGGTCAGCTCCCCCCTCCCCAGCGTCGTGCTCGGCCTCTGTTAAGCGCTCTGGGACGCTATCCTGCGTGAGGGACGCTCTATAAATGCAAGTTGTGGTTGTGAGGCTTAAACCCACAACCTTCTAAACTAAAGAGGAAGAGTGTTATCAACTGAGCGAGCCTGACATCAGTGATGTCAAGGCCACGAGTAATGACAAGATCAAGGGGACGCTGGCTGCGAGTGTGGGTTGTTTATATTGGGGGTTGGGGGTTGTGGGGAGGGGACGTTCAGTGCGGTACTTCCCTCAGCCCCAGGGGTGGGGAGGGGATAGACAGCCAGTTTAAATGTTTAGGCCAGTTGGGTTAGAGCAGGGACCACCAACATATCAGTCAATGATTTGCAAAATGTTCTCCCCTTCCACCCACCCCTGCAACACAGCCCGGGAACACAGAGGGCAGTGCCTGTGAGCCTGACGCACAGAGAGAACCCACCACGTACAGACTGGACATGCAGCTGTTGATATTGAAAGGAACAGTACAGACCTCTTCCTCCTCAATTCGAGCAGGTTCGATCAGCAGATTATTGACTTGATCAAAGGAGACCCCCTGTTAGGACAGGAACCAGCAGAGGCATGCGGATTAGTGGCACAGCGTTCACCAGAGAGCGACAGACTCACACACACACACACACACACACACAGACTCGCGCACACACAGCCAGACGCGCGCACACACTGCCACAGACTCGCGCGCGCACACGCAGACTCGCGCGCACACGCAGACTCGCGCGCGCACACACACACGCAGACCCGCGCACGCACACACACACGCAGACTCGCGCACGCACACACACACGCAGACTCGCGCACGCACACACACACGCAGACTCGCGCACACACACACGCAGACTCGCGCACACACACGCAGACTCGCGCGCGCACACACACGCAGACTCGCGCACGCACACACCATCGCGCACGACACAGACTCGCGACACACACACGCCATATACAGATTCACACACACAGCAACACCCCCAA